AAGGAATGCAGCCCATTGATCTTGAAGTCATTGCCCAGAGAGACCTAGATCAGACTCCTGACCTATAGAACTGTAAGGTAAGAAATTTGTATTAAGCCACTGTTTGTGCTGATTTAACTGAGATATTAAGTAAATCTGCAGCTACATCCTCAGTGTTTTCCTCTAGATTTATTTTCTTAAGAGCAAATCTCTTAATTTTAGCATCTTTTTGCCATTTGAGCAGGCTGAGAATTACCCAATTCATAATCCTGATTCCTTTAAGTTTTTCCTCTCAATCTATCTCTTTTTTTTTCCTCCTGCTTTACTATGAGCAGCAAGAAGAAACCAGGCTATACTTTCAACAATGTGCTTAGAACTCTCCTTAGCCAAATATCTAAGTGTGGTCCATCGCTTAGAAGTTCTGTTTTCCATGTAACTGGAGGATACAGTCTGCTGTGCTTTCTGCTCTTGTGTATCAAGAATTCCCTTCCATCCATGAAAAAGCAAGGAAAGGATTTATCCCCTAGAGCTTCAGAAAGGAGTATGCCCTTGCTGTGCTGAATTCTGTCCCACAAAACTGTAAGATAATGTTTGTGCCATTTTTAAAGCCACTAAGTTTCTAGTTATTTGTTACATCAGCCATAAAATTAATACACTTGTTGTAGGATTTCTATAAGGACTGACTCAAGAACGTTCATACAAGTTCTCAAGGCCAGGTGTAGTGAGGCAATTGGATCTCCAAAACCTACCACACAGTGATGACACGTAGCAGTGCTTCATGTGTATTAAATTAATGAATTATTAATTCATTGGTTTGAATGATTAATTCATGTGTATTAAATTAATGAATGATTAATTCATTGTCAGAGCCTTTGGTTATGACATCTGTCACCCCCACTGATGGCCAGGGTTGATTAGACTGGTTGGCTAGGTGAATGCCAGTTTCTCCTCACTGCTCCATGTGTGTTCCTCCAGAAGCTGTGCACTCAGTTGAAGAGTCCTTCCCTGAGAGAGGAGGACCGATCTTCAGTCAAGGCTAGACCAGTAACTGCAATCTGCAAAAGCCTCTACACAAGCTCTAAGGTCTGAATGGACAGGAGCTTGTGTGAAACAAGCCCTGAAGAATCACCAAACTGAATGTTCATGTCACTGTCTCTCACTTCCCTCTGGTTTCTCTCTAACTGTCCATCTTCTAAAGCATATTTCATGACCATTAGTGATTTTAGTGAATTGTTTCTTGGGGGTAGGGGGATTGTTGAATCAAATAAAGTGGGGAAACCCTGTATATTTTATCTCCTTTTTGTAGAGTGAATATACCTCTATCACAATTCTGAAAAATTCTTTGCTAGAGAAAATGAATTCCCCTTTGTGTACATTATTATCACAAAAGAGGACGCACTTCGGAAACGTTTGCCAGCTGTGACACAGGCAAGTGTGTGGCCATGCTTGGGACCAGAACAAAGATTCTGAAATTCCAGTGATCATCAGATTCCCCAGAAGCCCTTCCACAGCTCAGACAGAATTCTGGGGCTGATCCAGGGATTCTGATCCCATGGGTCTGGGTCAGGCCCCAGGAACTTATATTTCTTACAAGTTTCTGGGTGGTACAGCTGCTCCTGGTCCAGGACCTCATGTTAGAAACCACTGGACTAGAATAATCAAGGGGTCCTAACCCTTCAGCCAGCCTGTGACTAGAATCATCACTGTGAAACATCCCCAGTGGGAACTTTGGGGACCAAAGTCAGTATGAAAAATGTGAAGATTTCCATTCCCTTGGCAAACTAGTGTACTGCTAGGAAGGAAGAGTAATCACGGCTGTCTCCGCCACTGTTAAACCAAGGCTACTAGCAACTTCAAGGGTTGTTCATCAGAATCTTCTTAGTGGAGTGTGGCAGGAGCTGGGGTGGGGGGAAGGAGGACATTTGAGGAGGGACTTTTGGAGCCACAGGACAGAGAAATAGGCACTTCCAGGCAGAAAGGAGACCCCTAGGGGTTGAATCATGAACTCATCTTTTGTTTCATGTCATCCTCTCCCTGACTTTCCTGCCACACTGTCTTGCACAGACCAAGGACTGGGAAGGGGTATGCAACAGTCTGGGGCAGCATTCGAGGGTCTAATACATTGAAGAAATACTTAGCCACTGAATGCTGTGAATGAATAGAGTGGGTGCTTTTCCTAATAGGTAGACTCTAGGTTTTAAGAGCCACCAAAAACCAAAATAAAACAACCCCAATAATCATGCAGGAACATTTTGCTGAGCCAGTTCTGTAGTGTTTCTGCAGAGGGCCTGGACTGAAAACAAACTGTGCCCTGTGACTGCTTCTGTGAGCAACCACTTTGAAGCTGCCTAATTATTTCTCTCTAAGCTTAATGTGGCTGCTGCATCAATGAGAGGCCTCTACCCCAACCCCTCCACTGTGATCCTTTCCAAGCATAGATCTGATTACAATGGTCCCTGTAGAAAGCACCTTAATAGCTCTTCTAAGGTTGTTGAGAAAAAGACGAGAATCTAAAAATAGAGTTCTCTGTAGCTCAAAAGCCTGCTGACACCAAAACCAAAATTTTCCACATCCAATTGTTTTAAAAATAACTAAACAAGGGCTGGGGGAATAGCTGAGTGGGTAAAGCACTTGAGGATTTGTTCAATCCCTAGAACTCACATAAAAAAGCCAGATGTGGGGGTTTGCACTTGGAATCCCAACACTGGGGAAGCCAGGATAGGCAGATCCTTGGGGCTCAGTGGTCAGCCAACCAAGCCAAATTGATGAGTTTCAGGCCAGTGAGAGACCCTATAAGAGCAAGAGAGAGAGAGAGAGAAAGAGAGAGAAAGAGAGAAAGAAAGAGAGAGAAAGGGGGAGGAAAAGCAAAACACATATGGAGAAAATAGCCAGTAACATTTTAATCTGGTGTCGTCCTACGTTAGGTGGCAGTACTATGAATTATGCCCGAGTTAAGGTTTTAGTATGGGGAAGGAAGAAAAGCAAGGCATTGTTTATAAAACTTGCTGATAAGGAAGGAAGGAAGGAAGGAAGGAAGGAAGGAAGGAAGGAAGGAAGGAAAGAAGATGGTACCTGAGGAATGACACTCGAGGTTGCCCTCTGACCACCTCTACATGTACATGTATACACACACACACACACATACACACACACATTCACGCACATGCGCATGCACACACACACTAGTCAAACAAGCAGATGTTTAGTTATTTAGGGCTTGTTGCTGGCATACCTGTGGTACTTAGACCTAGTATATCCACTGACCATTGATGAGACAGAGCCTTATGGTTGTAGACTCCAAGCTGACCTTACCCTTCAAACTTCCCAGATCCAGAAACTCCCCACTGTACTGCTGAGCAACATCACTAAGATCCCTGGGAGTTTCTGTGCCCTCCTCTCCTCTAGATGGCTCTTCTACCCTTCAAGCCAAGCATCCCTCTCTTACCACCTCCTCAATAATTTCTGCCTCTCGGGGTCCTATGTTTGCCTTTGATCAGTCAGTCCTCAAGCCCCTTAAACCTTCTACAACTGACCATCAGATTTAACAGTGTTGAACTGTTTTATTACTACCAAAGCAAACTTCTGGGATGAATTTCCTAAGGTCATCTAATGATTATGCCCCCTCCCACTACCCACTAAACTGCAATCCGCACAGCAGTAGGCGTCAAGCCAACTTTCCTCATCACTGTAACCCCAGCATACAGCCCACGCCTGGCACCAATTGATTCTCAACAAATTAATATTTGTATGTGGGAAAAAAAAAAGAGAGAGAAGGAATGAAATTGCTTGATAAAGATTATGTTGACATAAAAATTTCCAGGTCCTGTGAAAAACATATGGCCTTTGCTATCCTGGAAAGTCAGTGTTTTTGCCCTACTGGATTCTATCCAGATCAACACATTGGCTCTGGCCTCTGTTTATTTCTTGGTGAGACTAAGGCAGTTCCTGGTGTGTTAGTGAGCCAGCTTCCTAGCCCCCTTCTGTGCCACACCAGAGCCGTTTTTCTTTTCTTTCTTTTTTGAGATAAAGAGTCTTATTATGTTGTCCAAGCCTACCTTGAATTCCTGGGCTTAATGATTTGTCTGCCTCTAATGTAGTTGGGAATGCAAATGCCTGCCTCTGCACCCTGTCTGGTGATCCATCAGATCCATCACCCAGACAGGGTGATCTTTTCAATTAAATCACACATTTGACCACCTCAGCCCAATCTAATCAGCTTGAGAGGAGGAATGTTTTTTGTTTTTGTTTTTAAAATTATTTCTAGTGTATGAGTGTATTGACTGCATGTATGTAAGTGCACCCCTGTCATGCAATGGCCCCAGAGGTCAGAAGAGGGTGCTGGAGTTGCAGAAGGTTGTTAGTCACCATGTGGGTGCTGGGAATCGAACCTGGGTCCTCTGCAAGAGCAGCCAGTGCTTTGAATCTCTCAGCCCTGGGAGGTAAGTGTCTTAAAAGATTGTTTTATTGTTGTTTAGAAGTTTATCGCTTTTCTACCATTTTCATGTTTGTGAATGTGTAAATTAAAATTCCCTGTTTAACCAGAAATCACAATGGAAGTGACTGACCTAATATTGCTAGTCTGTGTGAAATATCATCTTTCTATGTAAAGTCATAGATCACCAACTTGACTGATTTACTGAAAACCACATGCATGCAGGGGGTGCTGCAGTATTGCCCCATGACAGAGTGCTTGCTTAGCATGTGAGTTAACTCCTCAGCAAGAGAGAGAGGAAGGGTGCATACTCACATGGTTTATTACCGAGTCAGTGCACAATAGAATGGGTCACTGCGTTAAAAACACATAAAAACTGAGGGAAGTGAGGGAAAGAGGGGCGTTTGTGCAGCTGGCTATTAATCTCTTTATTAAGCACTTCCTGAGCTTCCTATCTACTTGGGGCAGACTGGCCCATCCCACACTTTGCACTGTGTGGAACTTTCCTTACATAGCACATGACCTTTCACAGGATGAAGTGGCCAGTCATCAAAGGTAACAAAGGCAGCAGACAAGAAAACATCAGTACCAAAGGCGTGCCCGCAGTCCTGGCTCTGCGACTTGGAGTACTCCAGGCAGCCGGCTCTCTCTTCCAGGGGTGGGCAAGGCGTCCCTCCGTTCAGTGGTTCCTGCCGCACTGAGCGCCTGCGGACTCGCGTGGTGGGTCGGCATTGATCTGCGCAGCCACTCCAGGGACTCCATTCACCCACGAAGCATGGGCGAGCTGAAAAACAGTACAACAGGACGCTCACCTGAGTAAACCAAGCCAGCCTGCCAAGGCTGTTCCCACCAACACAGTATTTACCTTCGTGAACTTGGCCTTGATCTGGGCTCTGTATCAGGGCTACACACAAAGTCTCAGCACGTCCCAGTTGACATAGACTCCACCCACCCTGATGGTTAACTGATAATCAGGTACCTCTGAGAGGGGGCAGATATCCAGGATCCTGAGGGTTGGTCTGAGCCAGAGACACACCCAAATAAATTCCTGCAGGGTACTTCCTCATACTGGGGCTCAGAGGAAGGAGACCTTTGCTTTTGTTTCATCCTTGATATTGACTTTTATCTGCTTCTGCTCATAACATTATTTTCTTTTTAGATCTTTTTTTTTCACTTGTACATATTTATGGGGGACAGTATGATATTTCACTACATGTATGCAATGTGCAATGAGTAGATTAGAGTCACTGACAAATCCATTGCTTTCACATTGAGCATTTCTTGTTTTAGGAACTACAGCTATTTTAGAATATAAAACTAGGACTGAAAAGATGGTTCAGCAGTTAAGAGCATTGGTTGCTCCTACAAAGTATCTGGGTTTGGCCAGCACTCAGATGGCAATCAACAACCATCTGTAACTCCAGTTCCAGGGGATCTGACACCCTCTTATGACCTCCATGGGCATTGCACAAAACAGGTGCACTTACAAACATGCAGGCAATATACTCACACACATAAAATAAATAATAAAAATTTAAAAGTTTAAAATTTAACAAACAGGACATAAAATTGTTACCAGCCATTGCCTATAGAACATTAGGAGTTATTTCTCCTAACTGCATCCCTATACCTGGTTCATCATCCCCAGAACACTCTCATAAAAATTTTTATAAAAATAGTAATATAAAATCACTGCAAAAACAGAAAAAAAAGTATGTATAGCCAGGCATGGTGGTGCACGCTTTTAATCCCAGCACTCAGGAGGCAGAGGCAGGCGGATCTCTGTGAGTTCAAGGCCAGCCTGGTTTACATAGTGAGTTCCAGGACAGCTGGGGCTACAGGGAGACCCTGTCTCAAAAAGAGCACAAAAGACCCCTAATAGCCAAAGCAATCCTGAGTCCAAAAAAAATGTTGGAGGAATTAACAACAGATTTCAAAATGTAATTACATTAATAGTAATAAAAACAGCATGGTGTTGGCACAAAAATAGACACATAGATCAATGGAATAGAACAGAGGACCCAGATATAAGTCCATGTAACTCCTGCCACTTGATTTTTGGCAAAGATGCTGAAAACACACATTAGAGCAAAGTCAACCTCTTCAACAAATGATGCCAAGGAAACCAGATATCTATGTAGAAGAATGAAACTCGGTGCTTATCTCTCACCCTGCATAAAAATCAGTTCCAAATGGATCAAAGATTTCAATGTTGGGCCTAAAGCTCTGAAACTACTGAAGTATAAAATAGGGAGTTCACTTAAAGATACAGGTATAAATAAGGACTTTCTGAATAGGACTTCAGTAGCTCAGGAAATAAGGCCAACAATCAACAAGTGAGGCTTTATAAAAATTAAAAAGCTTCTATGAAAAGGAAACTTAATGGAGTGAAGAGATAGCCTACAGAAGGGGAGAAAATCTTTGCCAGCTACACACTTAATAGAGGATTAGTGTCTAGAATATACAAAGAGCTTTAAAAACTAAACATCAAGAAAACAACCTAATTAAAAAATGATCTATGGACTACTGCCATCAGTAGGAGCCAGAAGAGATGAATGATGGGCTTGATTTTTATTCATTAATGTGTTTTCCTCTGCTTTTCTCCTCATCTCCTTATTTTCATTTTGTTTGCCTTTGCACCTGCCCCCCCAACCCCCAATTGAATGAATACTGGAGATTTTGAATAAACAATAAATACAAATAAAAATGGACTATGGAACTGAACAGCATTCTCAAAAGAATAAACACAAATGGCTAATTACATGAAAAAGCAGCTAACATCCTTAGCCGTCAGGGAAATGCAAATTAAAACTACTTTGAGATTTCATCTTACTCCAGTCGGAATCACTATCACCAAGAAAACAAATGACTACAAATGCTGGCAAGGATGTAGGGCAAGGAGAACCTTCATTTACTGCTGTAAACTGGAGTTTAAACTGGTACAGCCACTATGGATATCAGTGTGGTGGTTCCTCAAAAAGCTAAGAATAGAACTGTCATGTGACCCAGTTAGATCACTCCTGGGCATGTGACAAAAGACTCCACACCCTGCAACTCGCACTTCCATGTTCATTATAGGTCTATTCACAATAGCAAGAAAATGGACCCAGCCTAGATGCCCATTAATGGATGGGTGAATAAGGAAAACATGGTACACAAACACAATTGAATTTTATTCAACAATAAAGAAGAATGATATTATGAAATTCATAGGAAAATGGATGAATTTGGAAAATACTATACTGAATGAGATAACGTAGGTTCAGAAAGACAGACACTATATGTTCTCCCTTACATACAATCCTAGCTATGAATTTTCAGGGTAGTATGTTTTACTTTGAGTGCCAGTAAAGACCATAAAGATAGAAAAGTGCCGGGAGAGAGAGAGAGAGAGAGAGAGAGAGAGAGAGAGAGAGAGAGAGAACGCCTTAAAGGAAGAAGGATAGCAGAACACATTGGACATAATAGTGGATGCAGGGATTACTGGGAGTTGGAAAGGTCTAAGCAGGGAAGTGAGCAGGAGGATAGAGAAGAGGAAGGGGGAGGAGGGGGGTACAACCAAAACTAAGGTTATATGAAAAGGTTATATGGAAATCTGTTATTTTATAAGCTAATTAAAAATAATCTAAAAATGTTTGAATAGAGGTAGCCTCCAAGGATGGATGATATCCCTCCCAGAAGCCATGAGTTATAAAACAAAAATCTCAGTGCCAGGTATGGCATATACCCTGTTGAGTTGTTGGCCAAACAGGTCCCACGGGCCACACAATACACAGTATTGCCATTGCTCTTTGTTACCCTCTCAGAACTTGATGGTAAGACCCTATTGCTGAAGACACCACACTTCGGTCACATGACACAGAGCAATCAAGCTGGAGCAGAGCTAGAAGCTTCCTCTCTCCTGCTTAGCCTTCATTGTCCCAGACGATACTCTGCAGGCTCCTGGGAATGAAAAGTCATCAATAGTTTTCCCAGTTGTGAGGTAGAATCGTGTGAGGTAGAATAAGACCTGCCAGGCATGGTGTGCCCTCTAGTGTAATAGTGGCATGACTAATATAGGGGCAACCAATCACTTTCTGATTGTCTTTGAGGCCCACTCCACATGAAGGAACTCATGTCTAGTTCTGTAAACCTGGTAAAGCACCTGTGGCTAGGAAGGCATAAGCCCTAAGAGGGAACCTACCATTACTGTTTTACTAAATGATCGTGTTGTCAAACTTCCTTTTAAGTACTCCTATCCATAGACTAGTGCCTCCAACAAAGAAGTTTCTTACTTGAGTGGACAGTGGTTCATGTAGAAACTCATAACTGGCCAAAGTGTCATGAATAAGTGTTCAGTCCTAAATGAGACAGCATTATCATCCCATCCAAGTCTCAGGGAACATCACAGAAGAGGATCAGAAAAAATGTCAGAGCCAGAAGATGGGGAGCTGCACAGCAAAAAGATGTTTTCTGGACATGACATAGCCATTGCCCTCATGAGTTCACTGCAGCTGTGGTTACCTGCACAACTGGGTCCTCAATACTTCATCATGGGTCCCACACCTCCCTGAGGGACCATTGGCAGTTAATGGTTGTTGAGGGAGGGCATGTCATTTTCTTCCTGATAAAGCCATTGATAACTTGCTCTTGCTCCAGTAAATAACCTCCCACCCACATTTGTGTACATGGGTCATACACAACAAGAAGGTATGAAAGTAGGGGGAGACTTGTTGAGAGAAGTGTTTCATGATGATGAAAATGACTAAAATGCATTATAACTGCTTCAAAACTGCCAAACAAAAACATGAGAGGGGAACCAAAAAAAGACAAGAGGCTTGGGGCTGCAGAAGGATTCCCTACACTTTATATCCTTCTTCCTCTGTTCACACCTCTATGGCCTATAATTGCATAAACGTAAGGCTTGGAGTTTAGAGATGAGCAACTAGGGTCCAGAAAAGGTCTCAGTTGACCATGGTGGGAAAGGCGTGATGAAATGGAGTGGCTCATATGATGTCATCCAGGAATCAGAGAGGGCCTGTCCAGAAGGCATTTAAAGAGGCTCCTAGGCCGGTACTGGCTCAGAAGGTCTCCTTCTGTCCCTAATTCTTTCATCACCTTACTTCCTCTCCAGACCTCATCATCATTCCTGACTCTACCTAGTCTTTTCATGTGTTTGACTTGAACACCATTTAATATTTGGATTTTAAAAACTGCATTTATTTCAAATGCCAATTTTTGGATAATACTAAAACATAAAAAAATTCCATGTTATTAACTTAGAATTTAGTAATTTGGCCTTCCGTTTTACTCTATATGGTAAAAGATGGCATCAGGAAGTATTTTCTGACAGAATTTAGCCTCAGGAATCTATGTCTCTTGCCAAATATTTGTTCATTTGGTTTGGTCCCATTACCAAAGTCTCCAAAAATTACAGAATTATTACATTGCAATTTTTGTTTTGTTTTGTTTTTTTGGTCTTTTGAGACAGGGTCTCCCTGTATCCCCAACTGGCCTGGAACTCACTATGTAGACCAGGCTGGCCTTGAACGCACAGAGATCTGCCTGCCTCTGTCTCTCGAGTGCTGGGACTAAAGGCGTGAGCCACCACACCAGGCTATATTGCAATTTTATTCCTATTGGCTAAGATTTGTCTTGACAAAAAGTTATTTCCCATTTTATAAATCCATGATATTAAAAGTCCCATAAGAGCTACAATATTGTACCTATAGTCCCAGCTACTCAACGGCTGAGCCAGGAAGATCACTTGAGCCCAGAAGGTCAAGAAAAGCCTGGACAAAGTTT